CCACTCCTCGGTACGGGAGGAAGAGTTTGCCTCCTCGTCGGGTCCTCCGTCCGACTGCTCATTGGCAAAGTGAGAAGTGGAGTAGGGGTTTGGAGAGGAACTGCCTCAGTCGGGACCAAAGGTTGGTTGGCTGGGGTTGGCGTCGGTTGTGTGGTCGGTGCTGCCAAGGTCGGTTCTGGTGAATGATATGTGAAATCAAAGTTAAGATATAGTGAATTGGTTCACGGTTTTAAGAAAAATTACCTATTCGGGGTCGGATCCTTGCTGATGTTTTCGTAGTTCCAAGGTCCGCTGGTGCTTGCTGGTCGGCCCCAGAGGTCGGGGGTGTCGGCAGCCGGGACGCCTTCCTTTTTCGCGTTGGAGCAATAGACCCGGTTCCCGGGGCGGCTGTTGGTTGTTGAGTGCTAGTATGTCTAGCCGCTCCTAGAACCAATCCTTGGGGTGGAAGGAGTATGTTCAGCAACCGACCCTCATCAGGGGATATCAGGGGCCATACAACCGACCACCATTCATTGAAAGTATCTACAATCTCAGGGTTGGAGCGGAAAGGAATATAAGAATTGGAAGTTATATACGTGGTGAGCTGGGAGATATAAGAAGGGATTGAATTTGGTAGGACTCGTCGGTCGGGACTTTGAAAAATTATATGAGGACAAGCGACGGGTCCAGGGATACCTTGGCAACAGCCGAACTGGCGCGCTATGAATTGAGGTTCATAATTAAAAGTGTAAAAGGTTTTCTGCCCCTTTTTATCAAGTTTTTTGCTACTAAAAAGAGATCTGGGTTTGAGGGCAACGTCCCAGGCAAAAGGATAAGTGGAATGAGGACAAGGCTCAGGAGTCGGAAGCGGATTTGGTTCTGGAAAAGGCCAAAAATGGTCGGGAGCATAGCCCGCATATTTTTTATACATAGAAAATCGAGAGTTACTGCGGGTATCTGTTAAAACTGCGATTATTATTGGATCGGAGGATTGGAGGTTATTCCGTCCTGAGCAGAGTCGGTTAAGGGCTAATCCCAAATGTTTTTCAGCTGTTGGCATAGTGGGCGGAGATCCTAAGTTAAACGCATTGGGGAAGTAGAGCCGGAACCAAAGTTCTAAAAACCAAAAAGGACCCGACGCGGCAGTATCTAATTTCCTATTATCATTATCTGTTAAACGAAGGCTAACTCTAGTGAGTCCTTCAAACAGATTGGCTAAAAACAGGGTGCCAAGAGAGAAAAAACGACCTGACGCGATATGAATGGCTAGGTCGAGATGAGAAGGAAGAACACATTTGGAAGGGGAAACAATGATGTACCTACAAAGCCAAAAAAGGATAAAGGCAGTATGCTCCCGGTCGGTTACAGGGGTCCCTGGAGCCCCTTGCTGGTCGGTTGCGAACTTTGTCCAACCCCATTCCTTCACACCTTGTAAAGACCACCCTGGATGGTCTTCTGATGGCTCTTGCCCATCTAGGGCTCCCATTACAGGGTCTTCACCCACGACTGGGAGATGCGCGATCATTGCAACGTCCATAAGAGTTGGGCCAAAGGGGCCCGATGGGAAGAGGAAAGTCCCATTTTCCGCATTCCAGAAGGCAGACATGGCCAACAACACCTTCTCATGCAGGTTGATAGGCATGGTGGACAGTAATATTGCTTGGTCGATTTTTTGGGAACGCCATTGGGTCTGGAAGTGTTCTGCTACCCGTCGATACCAAGCGCGGTAAGGATCTTTTGGGTCTGTGAGATGAGTTTTGATGCTGTCTCGAATGCGAACTGCTTGGTAGTTAGGGCTGTTGATAGCTAAGGAATTTCGGGATTCCAAGACTTCCCTCATCCGATTTGAATCTTCAGGAGTAGTGCAATATGGACGGATCGTCGGAGTCAGTACTTTCGAGGCTGAAAATGGGCCCTCCGGGAGGGTTCCGTCGAAGGGAAGGGCAGGAATGTATTGATTCGCCATGGTCAGAGTGTTTTGGGCTTGTGATTCACAAAAGCTTGTATTGCGGAGAAGGAAGTTTATCAGGAGTGTTGCAGTAACTGGTGCAGTTGCTAAGGGAGTTTTTTAAGAGGGTAGTGATTTATGAACTTCCAAACATTGATTGTTAAATGGCGTTTGAAAGTCCCTTGGCGGCGGGCAAGTTGTTACGTACGAAATTTAGAATTAGGTTAAAAGCCCAAGGTAAAAAGAAGAATGGGCCTGGCAATAGAGTTGATTGAACTGACTGAAGGGTACCATGAGGAAATCAAGGAAAATAGGTTTATTACTAAGGAAAGTCCTCAGGTCGGAAGGTCTTCAGGTCGGTAGGTCCTCAAGACGGAAAGTCATTAGGACGGAAGGACCTCAGGTCGGTAGGTCCTCAAGACGGAAGGACCTCAGGTCGGAAGGTCTTCAGGTCGGTGGGTCCTCAAGACGGAAAGTCATTAGGACGGAAGGACCTCAGGTCGGTAGGTCCTCAAGACGGAAGGACCTCAAGTCGGAAGGTTTTCAGGTCGGGAGGTCCGCAAGATGGAAAGACCTCAAGTCGGAAGGTTTTCAGGTCGGGGAGTCCTCAAGGCGGAAAGACCTCAAGTCGGAAGGTTTTCAGGTCGGGAGGTCCTCAAGACGGAAAGACCTCAAGTCGGAAGGTTTTCAGGTCGGGGAGTCCTCAAGGCGGAAAGACCTCAAGTCGGAAGGTTTTCAGGTCGGGAGGTCCTCAAGACGGAAAGACCTCAAGTCGGAAGGTTTTCAGGTCGGGAAGTCCTCAAGGCGGAAAGACCTCAAGTCGGAAGGTTTTCAGGTCGGGAATTCTTCAAGGTGGAAAGACCTCAAGTCGGAAGGTTTTCAGGTCGGGAAGTCCTCAAGGCGGAAAGACCTCAAGTCAGATGGTTCGCAAGTCGGGAGGATTGGCGGTCGGACCCATATTATTGTAGATTGGTAGTCGGGCCAAAAGAGCGGAAGGTCTGTGGTCGGCTCAAAGAGTGAAATATAGGGATAATTTTGGTCTGCTGAGGACGCGTGTCAGCATGAGAAGGGTTGGAAGACGGTTTGGAAGGAGACGTTGTAACCGTTCGGGTGACGGTTTTCGGTACGTTTTCTTCAAAGAATATTTAAGGATTTGGATCATCATTTGGCAAGGTATCTTCAATCAACTTCAACAAAGCAAAGTCAGATTTGGGGATCACCACTTTAAATTTCAGTCTTTTATTTTCCAGTTTAGTTTCTGTACCGTACAGTGTTTAGAGATTCCTAATCTCAGGCACTAATTAATCAAGTTTAAGGATATTTTCTATATCTTTAAATTTTACTTTATTTTTGTTGAAAAAATACATCAACAAAATTAAATAGATTAATTTGGGACAAGTTAGAAGGACAAAATAAATATATTCATTTATAATATTAAATATATAATATAATTATATTTACGTGACTCGAGGGCTAACCTGCCACATTTTAGGCTAATCTACTTTCAATCCGCAATATGCGTGAATTAGTTAGTTTAGACCATTTTTTAACGGACCTAAAAAATTAAACTCTAATCCTCTTTGAAAACGGGTGTGGCGAGTCAACTCATAGACTCAACCCAATTTGACGTCAATTAACATATAACCTTGAACGATTGCACTTTTAGGTATAACAAAGGGCATCTATGGTATTTCACAATTTCAAGGGATATGTGAAGGGAATGAGTTAATAATAATTTTGTAAAGAAGGAAGTACACTTATAGCCATTATTAATGAGAACAGATTATGAAAAAAAAAATAAAAAATATGGAACTAAAATCAATTTGCTTTGCTGAATTACCATTAAAATTTTTATATTTTTCCGTAGGATTCAAAAATTTACATTTTATTTTTTAACAACTGTATCTCTAACTAATAATACTTTTTTTTAAATATAAAATAAAATAATAATAATAATAATACTTTTTTTAAATATTTATTTACTATTTTACTAACATTTTATTATGCATTTATATATAGAAATAAGGACAAAGTATTGTTTTATAGTCCTAATATTTATGTGTATATATTATATGAATTCATTTTTATCAATGTACTCCTGTAATTTAAATCTATACAATTTTTTTGTTTTCATAATTTATATATATATATATAACTATTTTTCCACCTATTCTTTTCTAGAGATAGTTTCTATTTTTTTTTTTTAGGTATTTCTTCTAAAATTCGTGTCCGATTAAATGGCATAATTTTGATGTTTTTATTTGTATATATTTCTTCTAAAATTCGTGCCCGATCAAATGACAAATTTTGATGACAAAGACAATAATACTTTGGGTACAATTATGAATTATCTTTTTAAAATACTCATTTCATCCCACTAAAAGTGTCTATGTTAATGTATACATGAGAATTTAAATAAATATAACTAATGAGTAATTAAGAAGTCTATTAGTACAAAATAAATCTCTTAGAATAAATATAATTATATATTAAAATTAAAATAACTAAATAATTTAATTAATATTAAAAAAATTGTTAATATAAAATTTAAAATATGATTAAAATATATAATCATATTTTAAAAATGACGAAAGCACAAATTATGTGGAACAAACTAAAATAAAAAATATAAACACTTTTATGTGAGACAGAGTGAGTACTAAATTTAACAAATGTGGTTATCATTGACCTGAATTTATGAGTAATTACAAAAGCAAATGAGTTAAATGTTAGCTACCTAATATGTAAAGAACCAGTTATAACAGGGTGTGCTTGAAGTGGTGACAAAAGTGAAAAAATACTGAAATATTTTAAAAGATTTAGTTAGAATTAAAGAAAATAAAAAGATAAAATGTAATAAATGTAGTAGCATTTGTTGTAAATAAATATTGAATGAAAAATAGTAGTTAAATAGTAATTTGTTGACTTTATGAAAATTAATAATTGATTAGCGGATAGAACAAAAAGGAAAATGAGTAAATTTAAAGTATACTTTTAACAATGTATTGGCTTAATAATCATGATAGCCTGGACCCTGTGGTGCATTAGGTGCACACCGAGTGACAAATAGCGAATAAATATAAACGAGAAACAATACTTTCATGATTTTATATATATTTGCTGATAGTTAAAAGAAGGGGGGTGGGGTGGGGTGGGGTGGGGTTACAAACTTACAATCTACCAGAAATATACATATGTCAAAAACCAGCAAATTACTAACTAAATATATCCATCAAATTGTGGAGGGCAAACTTTAAAACTCAGCACCCTCGTCTCGAATTCTCATCATCCCATTCCAACCCAACTTCCAATATAGACTGAATATATATATATATACATATATACATACAAGTGTATATGCATTTTAAAAGAGTCAAAATGTGCTGCTTATTCTCTATCTCGGAATCCAACATAAATTTATCACTCTATGTAGTGCACCATCCAAACGAGGCAAACTCTTTGCCGCCGCCACAATGCAATCGAATAGGAAGAAGGCCCTCAATGGTACGGCTACATGTATTGAGCCAACCACTGTTTGCACATGTCAAGAACAGGGAGAGCATTGGCGTGTAATGCCTGCACAATCAAGTTCATGTCATTCTTAGTCAACTATTAGATGCTAGGCCGACAAGTTCAGTAAAGGAAATCACATTTCATCATTCAGCAGCTGAGAAAACTGGGGACGGTGAATGACCAAAGCCACCCAGAAAGGAAATCCTTAGCATCACAAGATAACACTACATAAATCATTTATCAGCAAATTACAAAATTCTCGGATTAGCACTTTGTAACTAGCCTTTCATGACTGCCTTCATTTAGATAATCTAGCCATTTCCAAACACATGTGTAAACTGAATAGGGGACTGAATGAAGATGAGTTTAGTTTGTTGTCGAGTGACAACCTTTCAGAAGTTGGACAAATCGCCAAATACAAGTTCTACGTAGCGTAAATTTAATCCTAAAAAGGCCTGACTCAAATTACGAACAAATTTGTGTACTAATAGTGGTTCTTGGAGGATCTGGTCACACAGATGTTATAAAACATATTGGTTGGTAATAAGCCAATTATTATACATATATCGAGTAACAAGCTGAATATTGAGCACTGAATTCATAAGCAGAGTACTAAACCTATGATAAAAACGTTAGACTGATTGAACAAATTCCTATGCAAATGTAAATTTTAAAACTTTCAGGTTGAAAAGTTACCTGATGTGCAACATACTGAACATCAGCTACACTTCCACTCCGCGATGCTATTTGGAAAGCACTTTTTAGACGACCACAAACAACACAGGCCAATACTTTCCTGCAAAAAGTACGACATAAAGGCTTTACAACAGATATTCCTATTGGTTACATAGAAAGGTACATACCAACAAATAACTGTGACATGTTAAGAGAAAAGGCAACATATAGTCTCAACTTCATGCTCACTTTATACAGATTCACACCAAGTCCAACATGTTTGGATATTTTTTTTTAAGGAAAAAATCATTTTGTAAATCATACTATCTGAAAAATAAACTCTTGTAGATATAATAAAAAGTGAAAATAACAGTTCAATTAGTACTAATTTATGGTGTGTTTGTTACGTGAGAATGTTGAAAAAGAAAATTTTGATGTGAGATGTGGGGATCATATAAAAAATATAAAAATAATGAATGTGTGTAATGTATTAATATTTTTGAGAAACCGTGAGAGAAGAAAAAGTAGGAAGAACAAAGCAAGCTAACCATCAAATAATATTATATATATCCACACACACAATAATGTTACCCAATTATTATATATTCCCTTTGTCCACCAAATCTATGCATGTTTTTATTTTTTGTTTGTCCACAAAAAATATGTATTTTCCATTTATATCAAATAACTCGTACACACTCCTTATTTATACTCTTCAAAATTATACTTATTTATGAATATACCACAACTACTTACACACCCAATATATCAAAAAATTTAGCGTCATCAATTCACTCATATACTTCCCAAAATACTCCTAATTTATATTAGGATTAATCAATATAATATTATATTCATTAAAATTTGTGTCCAACCCAAAAGAGCATATAGTTCATGGACGGAGGAGTATAATTTTAGAGATTAAAAAAGTAATTAAAAAATAAAAGATCATCAAAGAAAATATATATTACTCCCTCGGTCATTGAAATGTGTACTTAAATGTTTGAACACGAGTTTTTATAGAAGTAATAACTGTCATTTTTTGCTTTCTATAATAAAAAAGGTACAAAATGTGAGATAACTTTTCACTAAAAATGAAACATTTTTTTATGATAACCCAAAAAAAAAAAAAAAAAAAAAAAGAACATAGATTAAAATGACGGAGGGAATATATGATAATTATATCAAAACACACTAGTTTACACATCCAAAAGTCATCCAAACAAAGTACGTTAATGCACACAGAACTCAAGGTAGTCATCTCTGAAAAAGCGAGCCACATGGATGATACCACAGAGCGAAATTTGTGATCAAATTAAAAAACAAAAAGTAATTCAAGTTACTTTGTACCGCAAGGTAAAAGAGTAGCCTACCTGTGGCTGCTAGTCAGCATGTCAATAAGGCGATCAGGTCGTTCCTTATGTTTGTTGGCATACACATTAATTGCTGCTCCCAAAACCTATAAGGGATATCAAATGTATTTAAGAGATCCATTCTTATTGCAACTAACATCCTTATTTCTAGAGATGGTGGCAAAGGAACAAATCAATTTAATAGCTCTCATTAACATAATGGATGCAATGTAGATATTATTCACTCTATAAAGTTAACCTCTCAATGAAAATGAAAAAACAAACAAATCTCCTGCGTGCCAAAATTGTTAAACTCAAAAGGTAGCAGAGCCGCAGCATTTGAATGTTTCTGGGTGGCATGTGCATTAAGAGCATTTACCAACTCCCATGCTGAATCATAAAGGCCCAAATACTTTTAATCACCAAATAACAGTACCACTCTAAGAAAGTGGTTAATCTACAAATTCATCACAAATATCTACATTGTTGAAACAATATCTTCTCCTCAAGTAACATTTTTACTTAATCAGCCCATTTAGTGTCATCAACAAGTGCTGGATCTAGAAATACTTATGAAATTACCAATATTCGTGCCTTCTAAAAAAAAGCAACAACTCTTCATTTTTTATGCAATGAAAACTATTTCTAACCAGAAAAAAATACCTGATCCCAGTCATCATCGTCTATGGTACCCTTTATGTTCTTGAAAAACTCAGTTAATTGACCACCTTTTTTTCTTTCAGCAAGCGATGCGGCAACCCCAGCATATATATCAACGGCTGGAATGAAATGAACAGAAAGAAGTGCTAATATTCAGAAATTTGACATATGATGGCACAAATGAGAAAGAGCTGACATGGTAAGATAATTACCAGGAAGATTGAACTGATATATTACTTGGAAAGCCAAGTCAAAATTTTTCTCAGCTAGAGTCTCCGCAATTTCACATCTTCTCCTACAGTTAAAGTTGTTGTGATTGTTAAGATTTACAGTGAATTAAACTAGTGTTAAGGTGTTTGGAATCCTTAATAATAAGGGGAGCAGGGTAGAGGATGCAAACCTGAAGGTCTCAGGGTCATTTGGATTACCAAAAAGAGAGTGTCTCCACTGTGGTCCCTCGGCATCACTGAAGCTTCTCACAACATCCATCTAGACACACCAATAATGAATAAAAAAAAAGTAAGCCATATTTAGAAAGAAAGTACTGTTTCAGTATTAAAACATATCATCATCAGAAACATATTGAGAACGAGAAAGACTACTTCAAGGAGCTTTATGATGCATATACTTCCAGAATGATTTCAATCAGAACAATTAACATTTTAGAAAATGTCACCAGAGTTTGAATTCAAGATGGAACCACCTTTGTATACAGCATACCATCAAAATATCTGAAAGCTTGACAGTGTTGTTGCCAAGCTGTCAACTCACAAACATTTTCCTATATGCTCACCATTCTACTTGCTAGATTGTGATCATCAGAATATTATGCATCCTCTCCCAGTACGAGTTCTATAATCCTACTAGTAGCTTCCATGATTGTTACAAGAACATATCATACCTGAATGGCAACACGAGCAGAAAATTTGACCAGTCCTTCTTCAGTAAGCTTCTCAGAAGCAGATTTCCCTCTAACACCTTTAGTTACAAGTTTTGTTGTGTCCCCTCCTTTGGATCGTGCAGACAAGCTTTCATCAAAATGCATCTGCATCAGAAACAGGTGAAGGCAAATAGATAAAAATCTTGGTTTGAGAAGTTTAGTCGAGGCAAGGGAGGTTTTACAATATTGCATATTTGTGTAGAAACGGAAAGCATTAAGAGATTTTTTCTAGTTATTTACTTTATCACTGATGATAAAAGTGAAAAGACAGTGAATTGGACAAGCATTCTTTTAATATAGGAAATGGCCAATATACTTCTTAGAAATCAAGTCATTATAAACTAAGTGTCATTATCATAAAATGTAATTTAATGTAAACAAAGAGCAAATTTTAAATCAAACTACTTATAGTACTACGACAATAATGACCATGTAAACAATGGGGTAGGATCTATAATTTACGGGAGTCAACCAACAAATATGCAACGCTAACTCAACATCCATTTCCAAAAGTGGTCAGCCAATTTATAGACAAACAACTCATCAGGGTGTTCTTATATGACCGGATACACCTTGTGAAAGGACTCTTGTATGACAAAAATGTAAACCTAAAAATCAAAATTTGTCAAAGAATAGCTGAGTTATAATGTTGTTGAGATATTTTTATATTTAGTTTTAGATTTGTTAGATTTAGATTTAGATTTGTTCATATCCATTAGATTACATTATTTAGATTTGAGTCTATCGAGTTTGTTTTAGGTTGCCTATATATAGGCCCCTTATTTTGATTATCAAGAAAGTAAGCTTTAGAGTTTCCGCAAAATATTTTAACATGGTATCAGAGCTCTAGGAATTTTTCTAGTGTTTTGTAGTCTTCTTCAAGCAGCCTTCATCGCTGTGTTTTGTTCTGGCCTTAATTGTTGTGAATTTTTCTTCTTCACTAAGTCATGTCAGAAACCATCCCCAACCCTTTCGAAGAATTTAACTCTATTCAGAAAATTGGAGAACTGCAGAATATCCGGGCATCTAATAGGTTCAATGGGAAGAACTATCTCAAATGGTCTCAAATTGTCCGTACATACCTCAAGGGCAAAGGGAGGCTTAATCACCTCCTTGGAGCCGGACGAGAAAAAAAGGATCCAACATTTGAAACATGGGATGAGGAGGATTCTATGATTATGTCCCGGCTATGGGATTCAATGGACCCAACAATCAGTGACACTTGTATGTTCTTAAATACTGCTGAGGAAATCTGGGACTATATCAACCGTATATACTCAAAGGCCCGTGATGCTGCCCTTGTGTATGAAAAACCGGAGCCACCAAGCAAGGAGACAAATCTGTCACAGAGTTTGCAACTCTGTTGCAAAATCTTCGGCAAGAATTGGATCACTACCGGGTAATTGAGATGAAATGCCCTGATGATGCTGCCACTTTGAAGAAGTTCATTGAGAAGGATCGGATATATGATTTTTTGGCTGAATTCTGAATATGATCAAGTTAGGATCCAAATCCTCGGCAAGGAGGATACACCATCTCTAGAAGAGACAATCTCATTAATCCGAGCTGAAGAAAGTCGGAGGAGTGTCATGCTAGAACCACATACTATGGATGGGTCAGCCTTAGCAGCAAAAACAAATCAGGAGAAGTGAAAGAATGATATGCCTAAACACTTTGGTAGAGATAACCAAGGGAAAGAAAATAAAGACAATTTTCGGTGTACTTATTGCAAGAAACCCAGGCATACAAAGGAGAAGTGTTGGAAGCTGAATGGTAAACCTCCAAGCCGAGAGTGGGGCTACCGTGGGAGGCAGCAGCAAAGGCCTCAAGCGCATATGGCAGAGCAGCCCAATATTGAGGAAAATCCAGCAATAGGGGGGTTCAATAGTGAAGAAATTGAAAGATTGAGAAGTTTGTTGGAGTCTCTTGAGAAGCCTTCTGGAACATGTTCAATGGCTCTTTCAAGTAAAACTGTGTGCATGAATGTCTTAGACAAATTATGTACCAACTCTTGGATCATGGACTCCGGTGCTACAGACCATATGACCCCCACATCTCAACTCTTCCACACCTATAACCCATGTCCAACTAATAGAAAAATAGTTGTGGCCAATGGTTCTTTAGCCACTGTTGCAGGGATTGGAGATATACATATCACACCTAGCCTTATTCTTAAAAATGTTCTCCATGTGCCCAAACTGTCAACAAGTCTTGTTTCCATTCAAAAGTTGACTCATGATCTTAAATGCTATGCTTTTTTTGCTCTTCTTATTGTGTTTTTCAGGACGAGGACTCGGGGAGGAGGATTGGACTTGCTAAGGAAAGGAACGGTCTTTACCACCTTGAACCATCTAAAAAACCTAAGAGTAACTTCCCTTCTTCTTTCCTTAGTTCCTCGAATAAAGATGCCATTTAGCTATGTCACCTACATCTGAGTCATCCTTCTTTTAGGATTTTAAAAATAATGTTTCCTCATTTGTTCCAAGGATTAGATATTTCTGAATTTCATTGTGACATCTGTGAATTGGCAAAACATATCCGTGCATCTTTTTCTATTAGCAATAAAAGAAGTTCTCATCCTTTTCAGTTGATTCATAGTGACATATGGGGTCCTTCCACTATACCTAATGTTTCTGGGGCTCGTTGATTTGTGTCATTAATTGATGATTGCACTCCGGTAACATGGCTCTTTCTTCTGATGTTAGCACTGTTATACCTAATTTTCATTCAATGGTTCAAAATCAATTTGGGGTCAAAATAAAAAGCTTTAGGACAGACAATGCTAGAGATTATTTCAATTAGATTCTGTCACGTTACTTTCAATCACAGGGGATTATCCATGATTCATCATGTGTGGAGACACCCCAACAAAATGGGGTAGCTGAAAGAAAGAATAGGCATTTACTCAACACCACCCGAGCCTTACTGTTTCAAGGGAATGTTCCCAAGTCCTATTGGGGAGAAGCCGTTCTTACTACCACATATATGATAAATAGACTTCCCTCCCATGTGTTAGAAAACAAAAGGCCCATAGAGGCCCTTCATAGCTTTTACCCTCACTTCAAAATCTCAAATGGCCTCACTCCTAGGGTATTTGGATGTACCGCCTTTGTTCATGTCCACAAACAACATAGAGGGAAGCTAGACCCTAGAACCATCAAATGTTTTTTCCTCGGTTACTCATCCGCTCTAAAGGGATACAAATGTTACAACCCCTTGACCAAAAAATTTTACATCTATGCGGATATCACTTTCACAAAAAATAGACCTTTTTTCAAGTCCTCTCTTAGGGGGAGATTTTAATGATGGAATATAGTACTTGTGAGTCTTTCGAACCACTTAAAACCCTTGACCTTCCGCATGTGCCACCCCGCAATCACTCAGAACAAAACCCTCCTCATGTTCCGGTTGAACCTGAGTCCTCTGAACCAGTCACATTTGAGTCGCCCGATCCTGTCACTGAACCCATATCATCTCCTTCTCCAACCAACATCACTCACAATTTTCCAAAGTTTCCTCAGGTGTATTCAAGGAGAAAGACCGTTTCTGAACTGACACAAGTCCAAGAATCCAATCCAAATTCTGAGAAAGAAATCATGCTAAGATCAGATCCACCTTTACGCACACAATCTGTTGAACAGTCCACTGATTCAACTACTGTTCTGAATCTTCCCATTGCTGTTAGAAAAGAAACCAGAGAATGCACTAAACGACCACTCTATCCTCTATCTCACTATGTCTCTTTTAAGCGCCTATCGCCAGCCCAAAAGGGATTCATTATGAGTTTGAACACCATTGCCATCCCTCACAATGTGTCTCAGGCATTGTCAAAAAGGGAATGGAGGGATGCTATGAGAGAAGAGATGAATGCATTAGAGAAGAATAAAACATAGGAGATCGTTGATAAACCAAAGGGAAAAAACATTGTTGATTGCAAATGGATTTTTACATTGAAGTACAAGGCTGATGGATCCCTTGAAAGATATAAAGCACGGTTAGTAGCCAAAGAATACACTCAAACTTATGGGGTGGATTATCAAGAAACATTTGCTCCGGTTGCAAAAATGAATACAGTAAGAATTTTGTTATCATTGGCTGCTCACTTTAATTGGCAACTGCTACAATATGATGTTAAGAACGCATTCCTTCATGGTGACTTAAATGAGGAAATCTACGTGAACATTCCACCAGGATTTGAAGGGGACACTGGTAACTAGGTGTGCAAACTGAAAAAAGCCCTTTATGGGTTAAAACAATCTCCTAGAGCATGGTTTGGCAGATTTGCAAAAGTCATGAAGGAATTTTGGTACAAACAAAGCCAAGGTGACCACATGCTTTTCATTAAGCATTCAGTTGTAGGGGGACTGACTGTTCTTTTAGTCTATGTGGACGACATCATAATGACTAGAAATGATGAGAAAGAGAAGTATGAATTAAAGCTGAGACTAATGAAAGAATCTGAAATAAAACTAGGGAAATTGAAGTATTTCCTCGGTATTGAGGTGGCATATTCTAGACAATGGATCTTCATATCTCAACAAAAGTACGTGCTTTATTTATTGGCAGAAACAGGGAAGATTAGTTATAATGTTGTTGAGATATTTTAGATATTTAGTTTTAAATTTGTTAGATTTAGATTTAGATTTCGTCATATCCATTATATTACATTATTTAGATTTGAGTCTATCGAGTTTGTTTTTGATTGCCTATATATAGGCCCCTTATTTTGATTATCAAGAAAGTAAGCTTTAGAGTTTCCGCAAAATATTTTAACAGAATCTATTCAGGTGGTAACTATGCTATGATATGGGAAGTCTTCAGAGGACTTGTGACATGGCATAGGAAAGAACAGTATACTACAGCAGAATTTAGTGTGAAAAATCATTGTGGCTGTAAATTGCTGATTAGAGAACTGGATTATTAACTCGCTTCTCATGTATTTCCATCATCTGGTATTTATTCCCAATGTTAGTAACACAATATTCCATAAAAGAACGAAACATATGGAAGGTGATTGCCACTTTTGGGGAGGCTGTACTGTCAACAAGATGACTGTGTTGTTCCCTCACTCCAGACACATAGCTAATTAATCTTCCTGAAGTGAAGCAATGAAGCATTTGCACTTTTGTGTGATAAGAAGGGCATGTTTGCCGTGCATGCACACATACACCAACCAGTTTTAGAAGGATTACCAAAACATACTAATTACATTTAAGTAGATTTAATAACATGAGCATCTGATCATAGTAATTGCAGCAATCTTCCTTCTCAACTATAATGCCCTCAATAGTTAATTTATTTATTTTGTTCGATCAAAAAAGAAAAATTAAATAATTATTGAGCACCTCCTTCTATGGCTTTGTAGTAATTTCATAACTTCATGAAAAATTACAAAAAACACAATGACATCTAAAATGTCCAGCTTCTGTTACTAATAAGCCCTGCCAAAGAGCAAATTGATAAAAAAGTCTAAACAAAGAAGCATAGTACATGTGTGTTTCTTCCTATACCTTTTGTCCCCATTCGATCTAGTAACTTCAAGTTCGCAGAGAAGGTAAAAGAAAATTAAAAATGACATGACTACCTTAGCATGTTCCAAGTGTTTTAAAGCTTCTTCTTGTGAAGCAGAGTTCATGAACAACTGAATGCAACAGAGGCCAGCAGCTACATAGTCCTTCTTCAGCACCTATGTCATCAATTGGAATTTGATCAGTACTATCTTATCCTACATTACATTCATATGTGTGTGTGTGTGTGTGTGTGTGAGAGAGAGAGAGAGAGGGGAGAGAGAAATTTTAAAATGCTCATAATATTCTAAATCAAGATATAAATATGACAAACTTACAAACACAAACATTAGTAAAACCCTTTTGTATCATATTCACAGATTAGCTTTCGAAATCAAAATTATTACAAAGATTATCATGTGTTTAAAATAGTTAGGGAATTAAATGTATTCCATATTGATAGTTAAGACATGAAATTAAATTACTCAAATCTTTAGAGGTTATTTATCTTCTCTTTTTATGAAACCTTCCATATTTTTGCTTGACTTTATATTAAAACTCAGAATTTTATACACATAATCTAACTAAACGGTCAAATTACTTCAATAGTAAGTACAATTATTCAATAAATCGTTTGGTTATTACCCACTATTTGGAACTCTGTAGTATATACATAATTCATAGTTGTTAATATTTATCACCATCCTAAATAAATTAGAATTCAATTAGCTCTTGATTAGGTCTCTATTTTCAACAAAACTTTTGTTTATACTAAACTGAAGCTTTCAGAAATAAACATTTACTTACGCATATGGATATGACAAATAGATACATGTGAGGGGCTGGATTTACATATATAGGTGGATACAAAATAGTGCAATTCTGCGCAAAAGTAGAATAAAATATTGAAAATTAAAGAAATTGACGTACCTGAAACTTGTACAAATAGTTGAAATGTTTATGACTTTCACAGTAGAGGCATATACGGGCTACAGCTACAGTAGTGTGCTGCTGCATTGCCTGCCCTTGTGTTGCCATAATCCTTGATGAAATCACTTCCTCTAGGACAGACATAGCGCCATAGCCAACACACAGGTCACATAAATCGTCAATTGTTCCATAGTCAGTTGCCAAAGGGTCAGGTTTCTGTTGAGAAGAAGATGAAGTTACTCCAGTAGAGGATGGCTGCGGTGTAGTAGAATCGGCAGGAAAGAATAAGAAGCAAGCCTCTTTGTACCGGCCATGCCTAAACATGAAACCAAGCAAATGCTGACGAGCATACTGCAATAAGAACAAAACATTATAAGAAATTCATTATGAAAACACTAACTACTTTAGGAAGAAGAATGAACAAGCATACACTGCACATATACATCCCAAGGCACATATACAAGACAAGAGAATCAATAAATCGCAAAGGGATACAAAATGGTGAACAAAACATAAACCAGAGGAACACTTGTAGAAAATAGCTCATGTCACGTAAGCACTAAGGTTATAAGAACATACCAATAGAAAATTTGTTATGGTGTCAAACTACAAGCATATGAACAGACAGCGGAATCTGTCAAATAATTGCAGCACCGAATATATAGTAGACCCATTGTCATAAATAAGATAAGAGCGTTGACAAAAACAACATTGATCTGTTGTAGAGATTGTAACCATACATTCTAATAGCAGTAGAAAAAGGATGGACATATACACAACCAGACGGCAATAAACACATCAAGGATCTATCATAAAAGTACAAAATTTAGTCACATGAAAATCATTAATACACACCTCTTGTAAATAGTTAACACATTCAAGGTATCTATTATTGTCGAGGTTGCTGCGTGGTCCATCTTCCAGATCTGCATTAAAAGTAGAATCATCTTTTCTAGCTTCTGGTAACCTTCTAGATCTCTCTGAGCGTGGAAATGTGGAAGGCATGTAAAGAACATTGAGATAGGAGTCAGCAGAAAGTGGATCATCCAAAACTGCGGGTGCACTTTTTGCCAAATGTTCATACCTGTAATAGGTTGTATGAATAACATGAGCATGCTAGTTTTACATAGCAAACTAAAATCATAACAAAGCCAACATCAACACAACGTTCTAGGCCTTAGAATTTCAACAAATTCATTATGGTTGCACTTACATATGTCTCATAAAGCAATACAAGGTGAAATATTTATGTTGCACTAAATTAATAATAGGAAAAGAAGCCTGGTCTCATACAAAATATTTGCAGCCTTGGAGTACTTCATGGTAAAATATAAGGACAAACAATTAGGCTAACTTTCCCCAAAACGAAAACTGTTAGGCTGAATAAATCAACAAACCACAGGCATCATCAGCGTGAAATATACTCTGTGTAACAAACAAAAAGGCAACTGAACCCTAATCAGGAATGCTGCTGAAATCAAATAAAGCACGATATAAATGTAATCGATTACTCCTCTTGCACATTCTTGCATCATGCTCAAAGCTTTCAGTTGAGTAGCAGGTATCAAGGTAGTTCTAGGTTCTAATGATATAAGGCCAACCAAAATGCTAAATCTTTGAAAAGGTATTAAAAAGGGAAGCTATTCTCCTTTGTATGTTAACAGACCCTTATCCAATTTTCACTAGTAATTATAGTCTTTCTGCATCTTCTTAGTAATTGATATATTCCAGGTATACTCCACCTCAGACCCATGGTGTCATGATATTCAGTTTTGCAAGTGTGAACATAAGTAATTGCATCCATTTCTCCACTCAAAGAAGATACAGAAACAACAGCTTTTGATTAGTTTAATTACTAACTAAACCATATTTGGAATAGAGCTCCAAGATCCGTCACTCATTCATTATATATATATATACATATAATTTAATTAAAACACTTGGATATGAAAATATAAATAATAATTAAATAAACTCTCATGCTTTAGAAGGATGCAGTCTTACATGGATCGAACAGAGGCAACATCAACTGTTGGACCACCTTCAATAGTATTGATGATCTCTAGGATCACAGGCGCAGAGTCACCCTTGTGCAGCTGAAGAGCTTGCCTGTAAATACCACATAAGCCACAGAACATACTGGAAATTTAATCCTTCTGACAAGTAAAAAGTACAAAAATGGGAAGCCAGCTTATACAGTCATCTATCTAACAATCAGACGATACAATCATGCAGTCAAGCACATAATGTTTTTAACCTACTTGAATTTTACTCGAGCTTGTGCGTAGTGCTCCATTCGAATAAGAGCATGGCCCCATGAGTTCCATACAGGGAAAACATCGATCTATATGAAAATTAAAATTTTAATTTGGTATATTAATAATCAGATAAATTACAAAACTTGAAATTCCATAATTGTACCTTACACTTCTTGCAAGTATATACAGCCATGCTATATCGCTCTTCTTGGATCAATCGATCACGAAGATGCTCAGATGATTCTTTATCAGCAATATCATCTAGGGAAGCAGCTATGCCTGATCCCAGAAGACTTTGAAGCAATTCAGCACGTCCAAGCCATATATCAACTTGTGATAGTGCCTCAGAAAGTTCATCAGTAGATTGATTACCCAAGCTGGAGTTGCCAGCATCAGAAGATGAGTCATCAGCATCTCTTCCCTTGTCCGAATTGCTAGACAAATCAATTGCACCAGAAACCTTTCTTAGCTGAGATTTAGCAAAAAGAAGGCCCTGCACGATACAAAATAAACATTAACTATAAAAATTGCAGGAATATTCAACTTTAGTTCATAATAATTCCAAGGGGATAACCTGCACAAATGTTTCTGTTGCATGGTATGCTCGGCCAATAGTTTCCATAGATGCATTTTCTGGTAGTTGCTGTGAACTCAAAACATGTCTCATCTGATTAACACACAAGTCCAAAGCACCTTTTCCCGAAGCAGAGTCATCCGAGCATAGTGAAAGCAATGCCTAGGGACAGCCGATACAAGGGTTAGCCAAATGCAGATATTGAAACTATACTGAAAGAATGGAAATGCAGTAAGGTCAAAAAACATTGAGCCTCCATGAGCATCATCTAATTGTATGAAGAAAATATACCTTATAACAATCAATCAATATTACTAATATACGTCAAGAAGCAGATTTTCACACAAGCAATCAAATTTAAATAAATAAACAAAACAAATTGCGATCCTGCATATGGTAAGTAACATGTCATAGATAAATAAATAATCAACAGTTGTGATTTGGTTCAGTACTTCCTTTCGTGAAAGAAAGCTTGTAGATGTCATGATGTCATTACAATTTCCCATTAAACAAATAAACAATAGTACCTAAAATAAAAACTCAAACAATTCAGATAGCATCCAAACTCAATGAAACTTGTGAAGATATATGCAATAATACGATGTAGCAAATAAATATTGTACTAAAAAGAATTGATTTTGTAATGTTATCCTCCAGTAGAACAGGGACAAACTTCTTCCACTAGGATAAAAAAGCCAACCACAGATTACAAACTTCATGAAAAGCTAACAATACTTGACGGGAAATGCAAAGAACCATCCTTGTTTGTGAAAACATAAGAAACAATGCATAGCAATTAGAAGTGACAATCACAACTAGAGTTTATGTTGATCAATTCAGTCAAGACTAGGTAGGCGCATCAATATTATCACAATTACTCCTGCAGCTAGTCCTACCATAATGTTCACAATACATAATTCATACATTTCAAAATTAGATGACCAAACAGTCAAATGTGAAAATTTAAAATATAAACAAGACTCAAACTAAAGCGCAAATTTGACATAATGTGACCCAAAAGAACTATACCAAAGTAATGAACAAGGAGCAATAAACCCTCATTCCACAATAACTAGGCCAAAACCAACTCAACAAAAAATTAAAATAAATAAATGTAACCTTACATGCAAAAAAAATTTAGCAGAGAACATGCCTAACTAACTCACAGTCAATGGATCAAAGTAGATGAATCACAGACTTAATATGCATGGAGGAACAACACTCCAATCCACACAAATAGAAGCATTTCGATCCACATGAAAAATACAAAGAGATAAGCTCCACAAACTGCAAACCAAAGTATATTTTACAATACCATAGAATAGTTCATGAAACGACTACCTTGTAGAGTATCTTACATAATTCCAACTAAGTACTTGTGTAAACACAGTTCAAAATTAAATGGGCACAGTCTTTCTTTTGGAAGTCTAACATACAGATATCTGGAAATAAAACAGCTAAAATACTCATAGTATACCCAAACATCTGAAACATACACCCCTGATTTCAGCTCAAGAATTTTCTAAGGTAATCATAACAAATCATCTTGTCACATCACAATTTTCAAAACAGCAAATTATACCTTGAATAACGTGATGTCAGGGGCACTTTCATATCGATGAGATGAACGAACTGATTCATCCTTGTTAGCATCACCTGTTAGCATCCACTCTGCTGCAATAGAAACAGAAGGAAGCCTTTCTTGCCCATCAGCAGAAAACACAGAGGCACGGTCTTCCTGAATACCTGCCATTGCCTCCCAAGCAACCTTTTCAGATTGTGTTAATCCAGAGCTCTTTCTCTTTCTTTGGCTCTCCCTTGATGTGCCCTTATCTCCTGTGTTGCGAGGAGTCCAGGAAAATGCCCTGCGAGCCTCTTTTTGAAAATTACTAAGGCTGTTACTAAATGATGAACGAGTTGATGTGGTAGCCTTTGTTCTTGGCTTTTGTCTTGGACCAAAAGTTGAAATTCTGGAGTCCTTTGTGGGGGCGTTCATGCTAATAGCAATAGCCTTCGCAGCATATGCAAGAATCATGTTGTTGTCTCTCAATAATGGGAACTCTTTAAGAATCTGCAGATTCCCACACAAAAATAATTCACAACTCAGTTAAATTACAATATAACATACAGAAAATTTACCTGAGAAGCAGACTGTAGCTGTTTCCTCATCAACAAAACTTCTAGAATCAAGTGAGGGTGCTCATGTAGGGAAGAGCATCTTTGCTGCCATGGCAAGGGCAATGAACCTAGTACACGGAGACCTAAAGCCCATGAGTTCAACCGGGAAACCTCAACCTTGGACAGGTTTCCATCTCTTCTCTTTAGAAAGAAGTGCACCTTATTAAAAGCAAACGCCGTTTCATTTTACAAAACTGAGTCAAAAATGAAGTTTATTTTTCAAACTTTAACCTCAAAATAGTAAAAAGAAAATCCTCCAACTCACAAGAAGTTGTTTGGATCGAAGGTTGGGCAAGAGCTGCATTGCACTCATTGCAACAGGCAAAGCATCATCAGAGTCACGAAGAGAAGAAAGAAATCGTGAAGCTTCTGCAGGACCACCACCATTTAATGGATCAGCATTGAGAAGCTTAACAAGTTGACGGCCTTGAAGTTCTCTTCGCAGTTCAATAGAAAGTCCTGCACTTTCAGCAACTTCTAAAGCAGCAGATACTGCTCCTTTCTCAGCCAATCTAAGTGCAAGACCCTCGGGATCTTCTTTACAATGTATCTCAACCTAATTACCATTGAATAGGAGTTAGTGTTACAGCAAGAACTTGCATGAAGAACAGATTCAGTATCTATGCATCATATTTTAGTAAGGGTAAATAAAGTGAACCTCTTGCCAGCTATTGTAACCATCATCAGCACACAGAATGTGTTTGTATCTGCAGAGAGCTTGCCTCTGAAGCACAACCTGAAGACACAAGGACCACTTTATTATTCTTTACACCACAACAGTTTGTGTTGTCAGAAGTTTCAACACAACTGAAAATGGTAAAACACAATAAAGACACCTCAATTTTAAGTGGGTCACCATCAAGTAAATGGCAACTACACATAGTGAGAACATCCAAAGCTGCTTCAAGTTCCCACCTATGCAAATATCTGAAAAACAGAACAGGATCTGTTAAACAATCTATAGGAAGAAGGGTAGAGACAGTAAAGACATTAAAAGCATCAAGGTTATCAAAAAGTAAAGAATTTTTATTTGAAATTTAAATAACTGACTATCAAGTCAGAAAACACCATGCGTATCTACAGATAAAAAAAAGATCCACTTATAATCACTCTAGTAGCTATACTTGAGAGCAAGTCGAGCAGCCAGCTGCTTATCCTTCAGGCGTAGACAGTACTGCCAACTGTTGCTCCAGACACGAAGGCCAGAACTGCCTTGAGAATCTAAGATATTATCATCTTCTCCACTTATTATAAGCATCTGAAGTAATCGGTCCGATGCCCCATTGCGCAAAAACCGGTCTGACAGAGCAAGAGCATCCAACAATTTTCCCTCTTCAATCAGTCTGTCATAGTAAGGTTAATAACAAGATCAAGTGTTAACATGCTTTCTTTACTCTCAGAATTATCAACCAACCGTAAGAAAATCACGAAAGAGAAGAAGATGCTGGATAAAAAACAAAATTCAAAGGGAACTCAAATAATATACGAGTTGATCAGTGGCATCACGTGCTAGCTTCATCATGGTAAAATTAGTGGACATTCTATGTATCCCATGCCATTCAACTACAGCATATAGAATGTCTAGATCATGGGTCTTCAAGATTTCCTTTACTTGAATAGGCTAGAAATACATATTTAAACAATACTAATGACACTAATAAGTCAAAATAGGGAGATAAAACTTGTAATAAGACAATCAGTAAACAAGATGCCATCAAGACAGTGGAAGATCAACCAGGGCAAGATCAACAGCCTTCACCCACCATAGAGATTTAAACTCCACTATCCAGAAGCATATGAATGTCAAAAATCCATATTTGCATAATAGCATAATGCTTACTTCCACAAGAATATTAAGATATCATTGATGTTAATAAATGCAAGCATATAGTGGTTATACTTTTATCAACTTTCGGGGAAAAATCATTGCAACAATTTCAACAGAGGATGAAAAGAAAAAATCAGTACTGTCTACTTTTATCACAAATAATACTTCCTCAGATTTCAAAAAGAAAAGAAAAAGCTAGTGCATTACCTATCTACAGCTTTCTCATAGGGCCCTTCATTCTCCCAATCAAATGATAGGAAGACTGTTTTATCGGATTCAGCATTATCAGAATTTGAAAACTCATGCCAAGAATCAGAAGCCGCATTGCTTTGATCTTTAAGATCTGAAAGTGGCATAGTAATATTGTTGTTTGCAGCAATTTCGTCAGTTTCTGATTCAGTATCGCTATCACTTTCACGAAATCGCTTCATAGCAGTTTTGGGTTCAGAATAGTCTTTGACATCATCTGTTTCATGTTCCAACATGACAGCAAACTCAGATACTCGATGAAGGTTAGTTTGCATTTGTATCCAGCGATTCAATGTTGGAAACCTGTTTGAAAAAATGAAACAGCTACATAAGTTAACAGCAATAATGTATAAGAGGCAAAGGGCTCATGTTACTTAACAGCAACAGACCTCTCTGATTGATCAAGAGCAAACTCGTAGAAGAACCTATCAACATCAGGTGTTGGCAATACATTGTCGCTTAAAGAACTAGAGATAGCTGAGTCACTGCCACTGTATAACATAGTACTTCCAAATACACATGCCAGGACAGCTCGAACAGCAGATAGTTTGACAAGATGTTTAACAACATCTAACTTGAGAGGGTATAAAGGGATTTCTGGAGTAGCAGAAGACCGAATATAGAATTTGGGTTTTACTTCTCGAGATGAAGGTGAGAGAACCTTGTTTTCAGTATTACTCTTAGGGATAGTGGGAATCACCGGGATGCAAGCCCAGCCATGACCAGATCTCGGAGGATAAACAGGGGGTACACATGCTGAAATTATTTCGTGGACAAAGTCTGAATTCATTATATCTGCCACCTTAGCAGCTGCATCTGTACTGTCTCTCTCAAACACCAATCGAGTTAAAAGCTGCAATAGAATAGATTGATATAAAATATTAGCTAGGTTAAATCAGTATCTCTCATGCTTTTCACATTAAGTGTAAAATACCCCCTATCCCTGACCCTGCAGACAAATAATACTCTCTCTCTTCAAAGTATAACCGATAAGGCACTGGTATTGATTAATTGAGAAAAGGAAACAGAAAAAAATAACAATGATTGTCATAAATACAAAGGTCTTCAAGAGAAATTAGAATAAGATGTATAATTAAGTTTATTTAGGAAAGATCATGACATCTAAACAGACCATCATAACAGCACATTTGTTAAAATATATATAATACAGAAATCATAAGTTCACAGCTTAATCCGGATCTCAATAGCAATTTCGTTAAGACATATTACTGCATGTATTCTAAGAGACCCTTTTATAATATAATAAATTGTTGAAAATGCAATTTCAAAACAGTTTACAGCTTGCAAGTTTTAATAATTTATATTGTGAGCTTAGCAGTGGAAAGATATAAACATAAGGTATAATAAAATTTTTTTTTTTTCGATAAAAAAAAAAAAAAGTGGGGGGCTTTAACTAGATAAAACACAGACGACTAAGCAAAAATAAAAACCTAAATCTGCACCAATGTATGGCTCTTGGGTCAATGCAAAAATAAGCTCATAACTGGAAATATTAAATGCATGAAGGATGTAATTCAGAGTGCTTTAGAGACAATAGCAGAGAGACTTCCACACTCTTGCTGAGGACATCATCAGCTTCTCTTCAGCATGACTAAGTGAAATATTAGCAGATAGGTTTAGGAACAAAGTATATTTGTTGAGATGCAAATAGGTAACACAACAAGCTCACTAGTCCGTACTCATATGGTTCCAATCAAACATGAGGATGGCCAGCATACCGAATCATATATAATACAAGTCATCTCTACTATAGACATCCACCAAGTGGCTTCCATCAAGCAGTGAATGACAAATTAATTAAATATATGCTATATAAAAATGTATATACATACTAAAGAAACTCCTGGCATGATTGAGCACCTGTACATCAATATTTTTCAATACTTATTTTTAAAAGAAAATTCCTTCTTCAGAAAGAGAAATAGGACAAGACAAAAGAAAAAGAAAAACAACAACAAAACAAGAACGATGAAAACTTACATCCTTAGGCCACTCATAGACAAGTGAAAAGTAGTTGAAGTCGTGAGTTGTATCGGTCCCGTCAACGATATCACCAATTGCAGCAATATGAAGGATAAATTGAGAAAGGAAAGTGGTAATCTTGGAACCAAATGGACCAAAAAAGATTTTACCAGACTCTCTGACATCATATGTTGCAGAATTTACAACGCTGTCACCAGCATCATGTGTCACAGGCGGCTGCTTTAAGGTTTTTAAACCAAGCCCAAGAACCACACTCTTGTCAATGCTTGAAGTACCTCTCCCATCAGAATGTGAACCATCCCCAATATTGTGATCCCATTCTGTTTCTTCATCAGCAATGGCTCTTGCTAGATTATGAAGTTTACCTAAATTTTATCAAAGTACAGGCATTAGAAAGTTGATAAAACGAATGCACACAATCATATAGCAATCCTTCTGAACAATAACAATCTAGAAAACTTTGTAGAAGCTGCAACAAGATTACCACTAAGGAACTGTCGCTTTCCCATGTGGGCATCTTCGATCATTTGATGAAGCAATACAAGAGCCCGGTCTCTATTTCCTTGTCTGTGAAATTCTTTTGACAACATTTGAATTTTTTCACCTGATAATGCTGCCTGAAGGGCTGGTGATTCATCCTGAATAGATGAAACCAATAAAGAGAGTGTCATTCTTAAGTATAGGACATTAAGTTAATAAACTCAGACAAAAAAATAAACCAGAGAGGCAACTCTCCATTGACTAGGATACTGCAAGAAACAGAAACTTATCAAGGATCCCAATATTGGTTGATGACTCTTGGGATCCATTTTAGATCGAGACGGATCTGTAAAGAAACTAATTGTACTGTAAAGACTAGAGATATGACGCGCGGCCGGAGGACAGAAATTGAGACTTTTGTAAACGGGTAGGATATATCTTGTCAGCGAAGCGAGATAAATAGATGACAAAAACGATATACGTGGAGAATGTTTTTTACAATTTTATCTTAAAAGCATGCACCAGTGGATAGAAGATGTGGGCAACAGAGGTAATGATAAATGTACAAAAATGAACAAAAATGAGAGATGAAGATATTCCAAAGAATATTATAACATCCTAATTCAAAAGAGATGATGAAATTAAATATGATAACACAATCGTGTACATCTGCATATTATTCAAAAAGCTAAAGTGTAAATCTTGTAAGCTCAAACTACCTGTTCCAATAACTCTAAGAAATTCTTAAGAACGTGCTTGACAATAGAAATAATTGCCATTTCACGGACTTGATCCCAATAATTTGGTCCAATCTTTGGTGCACTTCCAGGATATATCTCAGAGAGCATGACTTGCGCCTACATGAAAGCATTGATCATAAGGCCAAGGAGAAAGCAAATCTGAACCCTCTAAAATTTATCGTAAACCATAAAAATAATTCATTAAAACTGAAGATGTCCCCATGGTAAATAGAAAAGAAAGGATTTTCACACTCAGAAAAGTAAGTCATACCATTCAAAGGGTCAAGAACTAAGACAACAATTAATCAACAAGGTTAACACTCCCAACCTTTCAAATGTAAGGATGACTTGATCATACCACTCGCAAACACTCACTAAGGTACATAAAATTTATAACTTGGTCAGGTCAAACTGAAGATATATTAACAACAGAGCAGCATTTAGCAATATTTACAGTGAAAAGTTTCAATTCATCTAAACCATAAATAAAATAAGTCGCATCACAAGAATATTTTGGAAATTCATGAATTTTAGGAGGCTATGGGTGTTCCAAGAGTACATCTCCTTGTGTCCCTCTCTGACTAACAGAAATATGAGATGTTTTAGCACATTTGATAAGGATGTGAACTATCTGGGCATTAAGAAAATTCGAAGAATCAAAAGTACAGAAATAATAGAAGAAATTGCAAATCATAACATGACTTCATGAATCATGATGCAAATAACTTTTGAGCAAGAAAAGTTAATAAAAGTAGCATCTCAGTTAAAATAAACGTTTTTAATACTGTTTTTTGAATGGCACCCTAAAGTTCTCCTAAACCTCTGGGATTTCAATGCCTGCATTCCACCGAATTCTCAAATTAAATTTACTTTTCTTCATAAAACAATATTGACTGTGTTGTATTACTTGATTCAGTAGCTTCAAAGACACACTGGGCAGCTTTGAACATGCTGCAGCTACATCAACGCATAAAAGAATCTGCAAGGGGAGACAAATATGTCAGTGAACTAACATTCCTCAAACATAGAGCAACAGCTACACTGGAGCATATTAGGCAGGCTCAAGAACTTAGAGAAGCGCTTACAGCTGCCAAAGGACCCAATTGAGAACGTAGTGACAAAAAATCCAATTCTTGAGCAGATGTACCATCAGCAGCACGTGACACCACATCCTCCACCTAAAATTTATTCCAATCAGATATGAGATTTAAATTGATAAGAAGACTGTCAGAACAGTTGGCATCAGAACTATAGTTTATTTATTTATTTTCATTAGATTTGGAAAGTAGAAAATTTATTGATAAGAATTATAAGATACATAGATCCCTAAAAGGAGAAAGTAATAAACTACAGCCAGACAGATAAGTCTATTTTTCCTCTCCAGGAGTTGATTTGAGATTCTGAGAATATAATGAACAGAAAGTTTCAATAAGATTAATCAATATTTCCATTCGAATTCTCCAAGCAAGAAGCATAAGAGGAGTTTCCTTTTGCATCAAAAGACAAAATGAAGAAGCAGAGTAGAAAGACAATCCACTAGATGATAGTACCAATTCATTCCATAATAGTCCAAACCAAAAGTGAATATTATAAATCAATCTGACATATAACTCAACATCAAGAATTTGATAAAATGACACTTTTGGCACAAAAATTAAGATTGCATGTAGAATTGTCCTCAATTTTTATTCTAAACTTTAAGGAATATGACAAAGGTTGAAAAATACAGGTTTTAGTCAAGAATCATACAGAAGCCTGTTTGAAGGCATCATCAACCCATCCAGTTAATTCCAATGTTGCTTTGTCTTCTGGTGGTAAGGAAAACCGAGAAATAGCTTCTTCTCCAATGTCATATTTCGCCCTTTGCATACAACTGAAATACAAACGAACTCAGTCCAGTCGCATTTGAAGGATGTAAAAGAAACCATACTTTATTTTTTTCTTGGAAGAAATGACTATATTATGAATAATAGAAGATAGAAAATTACAGTCAAGAAAACATAGAGAAAAACATATTTGAATATATAAGTCAAGTATGCACAATACATACATGTGTGGAAAACAAAACGCACCTATATGAGCTCACGTGACATCCATGAAAATCAAGAGTACAGATTCATGAGATAAGTATGGTATCTCAAACAGAAAACAAAAATGCAAATCAAGACAACTCACAGATTAAGTAGCTTAGATGGAGCAGCACGCAGCACCGTTAAAGCTTCCTTCCACCTCCACTGACGTTCAGATAATGGCATGAGGCGCTGCAAAATAGACAGACGCCATTCCCAATCTTCAACAAAACGTGTTGCCCTCATGATTCTCCATTCTACAGCTTGTTTACTTCCAGCAGAAACATGACTGTCCAAGGAATTTTCCATATCGGATATCGATGGTAGCTGCTGCCGCAAAACATCAAGTATCTGTCCCGTAAAACAGACAATCATCTCATTTCCTATTTCATGGCTTGGAGCATTGGCTTGTCCCCCGTCATGAATATTTGATGAATTAGAAGGCATACTCGATGGATCATAAGATACGGAGTCAATTTGTAGACCGTCCATGTAGAGAAGTGAAATAATTATGTTCACCATATATACCTACATTGCAAAACAGACAAAGCATAAGCAATGGATGACAGAAGATAAACAAGTAAAATATCATTGTGAAAAAAAAAGTCACATGATCAAATAGAATTGTGGTGCCAATACAACATAAACTTTTTTACCTACAAAACATGTGAATTCATGAGCTCTTAAGGTCCAATTATCATAAAAAGAATGAGTGAAAAGTCATGACCAACTTGCAATTTTTGGAGGTAGTTGAGACTTTTATGTTAATATACAGTTATCAACACAGTATTCACAATTTATAGCCAATAAAAGACCCTCTTAGCGAAAAAGAGTTAAAAGAAAACTTAAAAACATCTACATAAAAGATCTTAGAATTATAGGTAGAATCTAAAAATCTGATCATGGTAATAGAAAAACTTATTTGTAAGGCATTGAAAACTTGCCCTAGGTGAAAAGTGAAGTTCTGCCACAAACAAAGAAGATAATGAGAGCTACTTGGGGCACTCATGTTCACTCAATATGTTAGAATTTGCATTATACTTAAATCCAAGACTGGAACCCCACATCTCCTTCAAGAATAAGATCGGAAAATAAAATTCGGGAGGGTATATATGATAGGACACTTAAGTATGACATTCAAGACTCAGTTTAGCATATTGGTAAGAAGCAAGCAGGTAAACTGTTGATCAGCCAGTTTGTTATATGTCCTTATGCTACCATCAATCAACAGGGTATAACAGTTCTATTTTTCCTTTTTTTTTTTTTTTCTTAAGGAGAAATGATAATGTTATATAAAGCTGAAAACATAGGCTACAACACCAAAGGAGATAGATAAACTGACAAAGACAACCAAAAGAGATTGATAAACTATGGAAGGACTCTGTCCGGAAACTGCAAAAACAAAACGAGAGACTAAGGTTACAACCAAACAGAAGGATCATCGAAACCCCTAGCCCCTCATCGACTGGGACAACAATTACAATTGCTTTTCTATTAAATATTTCACTCAAGGCCAATATACTGTTGCAGAAAGATGAAGTTTCATGTGACAAACAAGCTTATTATAAATATTCCTAAGGCATTTTCAGTAACAAGCTTTCTTCTTAACCACCTGCTGCAACCTAGGCCACTAGATTAGGTTGCTTAAGCAGCTCAGCAAAGGCTTCATAGAAAAGGTAAAGGTTATTGAAAAGGTGTCCCATTTTCAAAATTTGTAGAGTGCATTGCTCAAAAGACCTTGCGAGAGATATTAGTGACTGCATCCAAGTGATTCTTCAGTTCCTTCAGAGACGACAAAATCATTTCCTGATCTCCAGTTCCATCAGCTGTGCTGTTTTCCATAGCTCCAAGAGCAATGATAGAAAATTCAAGAGCATATCTCATGTGTACAAGCTCAATATCTTGCATCCTGCAAACAGATAAAGAACATAATTATGCCAGAAAAAAGAATAACAATCCATTATGCAGAAGTAGGGATTTGTACAGAAGAAAAAATAGGTAGATTCCGTAGATGTGAAATATATTAAGCGGGCTGCAAGGCATTTAATGAAGACAACAATCTCCCATAAGTACAAGTCAGGTCTGATGCAACTCTGTCAAAGTATCTGCAGGCATGACTACAAATTTGAGAAAAGATTGATATGTTATTGTGTTGACCGGTAAAGTGGTTACTCAGAAAAATCTACAGCAATGTCAGAAAACTTCATAAGTCATAAACTATATTAGGCAGGCCATGTATTTTAGACAGCTATTTTAAGTGATTCCAGAACTACATTCTGATCATGAACAAAATGAAAACACAGCTCGTCGTGTATATCAGGCAACAATCAGGGAATATGAATATTGGATACCTAGGCTCTGGTCCTTTTGAGTTTTTTTTTCAGTTTCTCTACTTTGCAATACCAACGATTCCCAATAAAAATGAAATGGGTTTGTTTGGTTGTGTTTTTCCGTCCCCGTTTTCACTATTCATCTGTAGTAGTTACGATTTTCCTCATCAAATACTTATTTATATTGCAGCATACAATTATTAAGTACAATTCAAAAGTTTTACTATTCCAAAACACAAATACAACCCTAATGTTTCCAAGGCATTCAATGCACATATATCTAGAATGCAAAACATTTTTCATTTATAGTTATATAAAAACAAATAATGATAAAAAAATAAAGAGGAAAAGTGTTCTAGCAGATCTCCCTGCTATGCGTGGAGCTTCTCTTGTGATAGATCTTATTACTTGGCTCTAAGTTTTCACTATCTTAACTTTAGTTGATGTTTTCCCTCTGTCAGTCAGATTGAAGTCTTTGCCTTTTCATGTTGTATCCCCTTGGGGCATTTTTAATACATATATATATATATATACTTAACATTTAAAATATATATTTGCTGAATGACACTGCACACATGCTTTATTCTATGTTTGAATAAACAACACTTCGTAGATTATATAGATCTGTTTTTCAATATATAAGCATCAGACGCAAAGAATACACAAGCTTCACTCCATTCCACAAAAGGAGGAAGAAGACTTGTTATACTCCAATAAGGGTGAAGACTCCATGTATGTACTGTTTGGGCTATAATATGCAATTTAGCCATCTGATTGAATGGTCATGGAAAATCACAAAGGAAAAAATATTATTATTAAAACAGCAGAAGACAAACTTATTATGTATAAGCTGATAAACAAGGTAAGGTCGATATACATAAAAAATTGAAACAACTGCAGTTTCAAAAGCACACCTCTTCCAAGCTTCTGGTGTAGAAGTAATAGGCTGCATGCTAAGCAGTTCAATTGCATCTTGAAATTTTATGTAGGGAACTAAATCAAATATTACCTACAAAAACAAGATAAACTAAGAATTGCATAAAACAGAAGCCATGAAACATTAAAACAATAACCGTGAAGAATCAAAATTAATCAATAGTTTTAAGGCATCAAAAGAAGCAGCGAATTAAACCTGAAAGCATGCTTATAAAGAATCATATACAACTTGGACCCTTACTCGAAGCGGACTCTGGACTGACAATCTCTCCAGTACAAAATTTTCAACAAACGGATCACATTCAGCATCTTCATTCAAATGTTCTGCAATGTCTTTTCCCGACAAGAGTATTGAGGATTTAAGACTCCAAGATTGACCAGAATTGTTGCAGGCGACAAAAGAAGCAATGTCCAGCTGGTAGCACAATGTATCACAAAGATGTTCTATGCATGATGCCTGCAACATTAACATATCACAGAATTGACTACATGGTGTATGCAGGAAAATACACAGGAATTCAATAATCCAACATACAGATAAAATAGGTAAATAGAGATAAGAAATTAGCAGAACATGGTGTGTGCATCAGATTTTACCTCCTCTACATTATTATTACAAGGAGAAGACTCTTCCAATCGTAGAGCTTGAGATTTACTTGTCCACAGAGACTGCATCAGCTTCCTTCTCACTGTTGTTTTCCCAGCCAAAAGATCCCAACCCAAAGCAGCTACCAGTGGTTGAAGCCGAGGAAACAGCATAAGAACCTAATGTGCATTCATTCAAGACCATAAACTCAATGGCTAGCTTAATATTTTCTAGGAACTCAGTGAAGAATCTGGCTAACACATTCACACTTCACAAGCTAGTATCTAGATTGATTGGTGTTCGGTGTATGAGAATATGTGTAGTATATTTGAGGTGATGTTACTATACACATTGTAAATAGTAGAGAACATTAACTAACGTTTAAGAGTGCTTAGACTATTTCTCTATGATGTATATATATGCGAAATGTAATCCGTTCATAGTGAGAATGAGAAATAGAGAAATATTGGTTTATTAATCGTATGGTATCAGAGCCTTAGGGCAAGGATCCTTAATAGGAATTCAGCCAAAATCCATCTCACCTCGGGCGAGTGGAGGTATGGAGGTGCTAGGCGACCTCGGAAGTGGAGGTCCGGCGAGATTCCAGTGAGCGCATGGGTCACATGCGTGCAGTGTTTGTTTGCACCCAGATTCACCTGCCAGCGCATAAAGGCATATGCGGTGGTGGCGTTAGGTGCTTTGGCGGGTGCAGCTGGGTGTGGATTCTACTCCGTTAACACTTTGGTGAGTCATTTTGTTCCGCTGGGTTTGGGTTCTGCTCCAGATTGTTCAGTGGGTCCTGCTCCAGATTGGTATGCGGATTCTGTTCATTATAAGTACCCCGGTGCGGAACAGAGCTGACAAAGTGGCAGAAGTGTTCGTAGTGGACAAGAGGGTCCGGAACTAGAGTCAACCACCGTCGATGAAGTATCCAGCTAGATGGCGTGGATTATCCAAGTCCGAGGCGAGTTGGAGGAGACCAAGGCGGTATGGCTATTCGAGACTTCAAGGCATTAAGGGCGATGCCTAGCTCAAATAGGGGAGAAATGTCCTGGACCAAAACTTTGACCGAGGAATGCCGAGGAGTGTGCTGCAACTTACCGAGGGGACGCTGAAGAGCGGCCTGCGGCACGCCAAAACAGAGAGGCTAGCAGATATGCCTTGAGACATTCCGGAATCTCCCGGAATGTTCTGAAAAATTCCAGAATCCTTCAGAACATTCCGGAACATTCTAGAAGTACCGAGATCACCCCTTTGACCAAGTTGGTGTCTATCCGTTTGACATAGTTTATCCGTATTTCTTTGTATAGCTTACATTTTATCCCTATATTGTACAGATAGAGTATCCGAGTGTGGATACGCTTTGGCCTGTGTTAGGCCCGGTCCATTAGAGTGTCTATATATAAGAGAGGACCACTAAGTTGAACTTCACTTTACTTTTCAGAGAGCTAATATAAACTCTACTTTGTTGAGTGCATCTGGTAGTATTCTTGCTTTCTAGCCTATAGTGGAGTCGTGTGCGAGGATGTACTAACTAGTTTCTCGTGAGTGTCGAGGAATTGTTAGGCTGATGAAAAGGTGTTCAAGGAGAAACCATTTGACCCGTTACACTTGAAAGGTCAGAAAGCTAAGTTGTCCATGTCTCATGAGAACCAAAACATTCATCTATTGCTATCCTCGTTATAGCGATTCAAGGTAGCTCCAATATATGTCTCGTCACATCCTCCGATTTTTGGATCATTGATTTAAGAGCCACAAACCATATGGCATGTAATACCAATATTTTCTCAATTTATCAATCCCATTGTTATCCTTAGAGATAATCCACTACCCAAGTTGATGGCTACCGTGGATATTATACCAACCATGTCGTTATCCACTATTTTGAATAAAGTTGTCATAGTGCCCTTTTGTGATGTGGCGCCTGTGGACTGCCATACCGCCATGGCGACAAAATGACAATCACAGCGCACGTGTATAAAACTTTTATATACATATATTACACTCCCTCCGTCATCTAAAATTATGCCCATTTGACCGGACACGGATTTTAAGAAAAGTGAATAAAAATATAAACTTTTTCCTTTTAGGGTGAAGTAAAGGTAGGAAAATTGGCATTTTTTTACTAAAAAATAAAACGAGAATAAGTTTAAATGACAAAGGAAGTATATGATATAAATATCTATAATTAATTTTATAGTAACATGTTAAGAAAATACAAAATAACTAACAAACAAAAATAAAAAGTTTATTTAAAAATTAAAAATAAATAACTATAAAATAAATAATAATGTGATACACTAAATTCTAATACTATAATAGTATTAATAAAATAAAAATAGCACTAAACAGATAACAAGGGAACTTAGAGCAGAGCGGTTGTGTCCATGGGATGAAGCGGTTGTACACAGTGGACAACCACGGCTAGAACATAAGAGAGTAGAGGAGAGCGGGGGAGAGAGAGGATGACAAGTTAGGTTCAATCGGGTTCAAGGTTTACGGGTTGAAGTCGATGTTGTTTGGGGGCTTAGGCTGGGCCGGAGTCATACAAGGCTCTGGGTTAGCCTACCCAATACCATGGCATCACTGTGGTGTTGTTGAGGCATCGCCACGGCATTGCTAAGGTTGACCAAAGCCGCTTTGTTTAATATGGCGAGGCAAAGAGGCGCTCCCCAAAAAGCGTTGGGACGCCGTGACAGCAGTGGTTTTGAACCCGCCTAATTTTTCATTTAATTTAATTTTTGTTACCAAAATTCCCCGTGCCTTAAATTGTAGCGTGACATTCTTCTTGGCTATTGTGTTTTCCATGATTTGAAGACGAAAAGGATGATTGGCAAGGAGTATGAGTCCCGACACTTCCATCCGAAAATCCGTCACTTGCATATGTAGTGGAACCTTCTTTAAAACTCATTGTCGGTTAGGTCACTCTTCCTTTCAAATAATGCAAAAGAATTGTCACTAGTTTTAGAAATTTGTCTTTGTTTAGCTGTGAATCATGTAAGTTTTCGAAATCTCATCGCTTCAGTTTGAGCTAGGGAAAATAATCGTGTCCCGGCTCCTTTTGACAAAGGATATACGCATGTATATGGCATTTACTATTCTGATATATTTTCGTCGGTGGCCAAGCTCACTTCAATGCTCCTATTTCTATCTCTAGTTGCTACACATGGTTGGGCCAATTGGCCTCTTTATTAGCGAGACGCCAAGAATGCCTTCTTGCATAGCGATCTCGCTAAAGAGATTTACATGGGCAACCTTTAGGGTTTGTTGCTCAGGGGGAGAATGGACAGTCACATGTTCGTCATTTGCAAAATCCTCTTTAGGGCCTAAAGCAGAGCCCTCGTGCATGGTTTGACAAATTTAGCCACGCTCTTGAACAGTATGATTTGGTGAACGACAAATCTAATCACTCAATTTTCTAAAGGTGGTCCAACTCACCTGTGATTCTCTTGGGTACTATATGTAGACAATATAATTATAACTAAAACGACACAATAGGTATTGCTTCATTAAAAGATAAACAAGAGTCAATTCCAGACGAAGGATTTGGAAAAGTTAAAGTAGTTCTTCGGAGTGGAAGTCCTTAGAAGCAAGAAAGGAATGTATTTCTCTCAACAGAGGTATGTATTGGACTTGCTCGCTCAAACAATGAAGTTGGACACAAAACCTTGCAATACTCCCATTGTCCAAACACTCACTTGACAAAAGAAACCGTACAAGAGGATAGTTACGAAGTTAAACTATCTTACAGTAACTCGGCCAGATATTGCATATCCTTTAAGTGTCGTAAGTTTATGTCTTCTCCTAATGATGATCATTGGGTAGCTATGGAACACATTCTACGCTACCTAAAATGGTCTCCATATCAAAAGATCTCGTAACAAAATCATGGACATATTAGAATAAAATGTTCAATAGATACTAACTGGGCAGGCTCTAAAGAAGATCGAAGGTCCACATGCAATTACTGCATATTTGTTTGAGGGAACGTCGCAATACACATTGCCTCTAATCCGTCTTTTGTGATGGCACCAAACACATTGAAGTCGACTGTCACTTCGTACAAGAAAAGATACAATAAAACATAATTACTACAGACTTCATTTGGATAGAAGACCAACTAGCGGATTGATTCACCAAACCGTTAGACTGTTCTCAAGTTAATCACCTCTATAGCAAGTTGGGCATGACTAAGATCTATGCACCAACTTGAGGGGTAGTGTTAGGTGTATGGGAATATATGTAGTATATTTAAGGATGTGATGTTCCTAGAAATATTGAAAATAGTAGTAAACATTAACTAAAATTTAAGAGAGCTCTAGACTATTCTCTATGATGTGTGCATATATATATATATATATATATCAGTATTGTAATTTGTTCATAGTGAGAATAACAAATAGAAATATATTGCTTTATTATTCACAATTGGTATAGAGGGTCAAATAAGATGTGATTACTGCACCAATTATTGCATCTCACATGTCCGAGGGTAGTTTTTGCAACTAAAACTTCAAATGTGAAAATAAACATGAGAAAGTCTGAAATGATGATTAAGAACTCACAACATGAAGAAGATTTCAATAATGGGGCTCAAGAAAACAGGATAATGTGAATGCAACTTACAATAAGACCATTGGCAATTAAATAGCTATAAGTATACCTGGCAGGCTTCATGAATCTGCTCTTTCCGAACAAAGGACAATGCGACATTAACAATACATTCAAGTACATGCAAGCCTCTAACACGAGAGTAATGATAGGTTTCTCTCATGCAAAGGTCTGTCATGGACTTGAAAGTCAAAGGTTTCTTAGCTGAAAGTGTTTCAGGTGACTGTGGAATAGACTTCAGAAGACATTGGAGTGGGAGAGGAATCTGGTCCCTTTCGGCAGCACTGTAGGTCTTGATTTCCTCTTCAAGTAAATCATCTTGGATGAACTGTATGACAAATCACACATTTATGAATCCTTGGCATTGTGTAACGGATGCATATAACAATTAGTAAAACACAGAACCAGCAAGTAAAAATAAATAAATAAATAAAATTACCAAACCGTCACCTTACACACCATTGCACAATGCAACATCTAACATCTTGAATAGTCATAAACCTCACAAGCACCCAGTAACAAAATAATAATCATATTAACCATCTAACAAACCAAATACATTTGATACCAATTATTTCCATTTTTTTCAAAATCTTGGACACACAAGGGGGTAAGCCCCTTGAATTAGACAGAGGGCAGTGACTCTAATAATATCAGCACTGAGCTATACGAATTCTTTCTTAACAACTTGAGCAATAACTAGCTTCACATCATAAATATAGCACCACACCATATCATTTCTTTGGATTAGAAGCATAACTCACATGCTATGGACTTGTTTCAAACACACAAAAGAGAATGCAAACAGAAGTAAAAGATCCTTCATCCAGAAAACAACATCCCAGCAAAACGAGATAGAAGCATCAGCATAACCTGTAGCATCTGAACAAGACGAGTGCAGTGAGATGAAAGCGCTTGTGCATATATTGATAACATATTACTTCGCATGGCAAGTGAGGTTTCTTCATAATCTTTTTCTCCTGACAACACCCTCTTTAAGAGATCATGCAAGACCACACTGTAATACAATTACAAAGCATGTCAATCAGGTGCTAGAGGTTTGAAGGGGCCATATAAAGGACAAAAAAAAAATAGCAACGAAGATACGTGCAAATTAATTTAACAATGAAATTTGAAAACCACCAAAAGGTCACAATATTACACAATTCTCATCACTTGATATCAATCTTTTGTTTTAAAGGAATTGTTAAGGAGTGTTTGCATAGGTTCCATCAAAATCAGTACCATTAAATTGATATATGACCAAACCCATAATAATTATGTTTGTAAGCTTCTACAGTAATGGTATAGTGATATCAGATCTCAAAGAAACTAGCAAGGGTTATTTGATCAAATGCATACATTCAATATAATTGTCTGAGTGATATCAGGGGTGTGTTTGTTTTAAGGACTTGGAAGAAATTACATTAATCACACAAATTTTTTCTCCCAAAAACATCAAATCAAACACTTGTTTTTCATTTTTTATATTATCCTAAAAATCAATTTTACATTCAAAACATCCCATCAATACTTATTTATATCACATCATACCACTATTACAATTCAAATTTTTTACTATTCAAATCTCAACCCAAAATCCAAACCCCCAAACAAACACACCCCAGATCTCAAGGTTTTCTGAAACTCTTGTTCAGACAAATATGCCCAATAATCAATAACTAAACCAAAAAAAAAAAAACCCTTCAAAATGAGAAGCTGCAGCAACCACCCGCCACACACAAAAGACAAGCTTCTGTCACCGAGCAGCATATGTAGGAAAAAAATCACTACCATTATGACACGTGGTAGAGAAATAGAAGCTGTTAAACTCTTTTAATTCGGGTTTGGAGAATGTATGCAGAAATTATTGAACCTCATGAAGCACATGATCTTTTAGTCCTATGCGCTTGATTTCTTATGTCATATGTCCAAATTGAATACTTCAATCATATATTCCTTTAAACTTGTTTGAATATTATTTGATCAAATTTAGTATTTCTAAAACAGAAAACTACAAAGAAAAAGAATTTTATTCATAGAAACACTTAACACATAAAACTATATTTAGATTTTTAGCAACCATATTAGGGTTTTTGATTGCTCTTCCATGGGTAGCACTATCCTGACTCTATGATTGGAGAGGATACATTAATAATGTGGGAAAAAAGGCCCGTCTGATGAATAGAAGTGCTAACCATAAAGCATTGAGAGATGAGGAAGTGCATAACTGCATATGAATTTCAAAAGACATGAAAAGCATCGCCAAGAAAAAAAAGCCCACTGGCTAATTCAAGGCCATCATATATGAGTACTTGAACACACAAATCTGTGCATATGTATCAGAAACCTCTTGTACATTGCCCATTCATTCTATTTACTTCACAGCATTCAAGAATAACTGACTAAAAAAAAAAACAGTTTAGAACAGGTCATATAAAAAAATCAGCATAATAGCAACTCAAACAAGTAGTAGCCTAAACAATACTTCATTTATAATCAGGCACAGATGGCATGCTGAATATTTGCAAAGCGAGTACTAGTAAATGTATACCGATATTTGGATTCTTCAACTCCACGGTTCAAGTAAAGAAACCTAATATGTGACTCTGCACCTTCCTGATCACCATTACTCAAACACTCTCTCATGGCATCTAAGTGTGCTACCTGAACACACTTCTGGATCAACCTCAGAATCTCATCCTCCTCCTCCCGACACTTCACCTCCTCCCTTAATGCAATAGCCAAATCCCCAGGCTCCTCATTATCCAAGCTCCCCACTTGCTGCTCAATATTAGAACACAAAACATCAAAAATATCAGGATTTTCCAAAACAACGCCCCTCAATTTCATCAATTCACCTTCATCCAAACACTGGGGGTCGCACGTCTCCAATCCCTCCAATTCAGTCAAATCCGGACTCAATCGACTAAACCCAACCTTGGAAACCCTTTCCAAAACCCTTAGCTCTTCATCTCCGCCCGTACCCTCGTTCAAATACTGACCCCCTTCCAAATTTGCACCATCTTTAACTTTTTGCAAGACCCTGCAAGTGATCATGTGTACATACAACAAAAACTCGGAACGCAATTTCAACATAGTCGGGTCGAACGACCAGAGATTCAATGTGGGTTCAGGAAATTGGAGCAGTTCAAGGGTGCATAGAAATGTCAGGACGGCAGGAGAAGGGCACGAATCGGACCAGAGAACCGCGTCGGGCGTACCCATGCGCCCGCCCTGGGAAACAATCGTCTGCAGAATTGTTCGGGCAAGGTCCGGCTTCCTGGCCCGAAGGCTGCGCAGCGTGGCTCGAAAGGGCTCGAATTGACCCAGGACCAAGTGGTTCGCAGTGACTTTGGAGAGGAGCTCGGTCTCCTTGTCTTCCATGATTGCAAATTCAGATGGAAATTGGTGATGCGCATGGATTGCGCATACAAATGCTCAGACAGATTCGATTCGAAGGGAAGGCGAAGAGAGAAATAGTTCAGTTGAAAGTTGAAATTGGCAACTTAAATTGGAGCGAGTGTGAGAGCAACTTTTAAAGAGGGCGAACCGGAGATTACTACGACGACGTTTTAACCTGAATATGTTTTTCAATGTAACATTACTATTTATTTTAGGAAATTGAGAAAAAATTAATTTTGGTCTCAATATAATCGATCTCAATATAAAAAATTTATCAATTTTAATCTCATTGTAAACAATTTCAATCAATTTTGGTCTCATTATATTATAAACAATTTCAATCAATTTTAGTCCTACAGTTAAAAAGAAATTACTGACGTGGACGTAACTGAGTTGAGCATTTGACTTGGAAACTACGTAGCCGCCATGTAATTTCAGTGTAAAATTATACGTGTGTACAGATATGTTACTAATATTATATCTATAATACTAATATTTTATTTCATTTGTCTCATCTAATATGAGCATATTAATATAAATACGAAAATTTAGGTAAAATATAATTAATAAGTAATTAAGGTGTATTAATATAAATAATTATTATATAATAAAAATAATTATAAATTAAGATAAAGATAATTAAATACTTTAATTAATATTATAAAAATTATAAAATTTAAAATATAATTGAAGTATATAATTATATTTTTAAAAAAAATATATAAATTATTTGAGACAGATGAAAATAAAAAATATGAACAAACTATGTAGGATGGACAGAGTAATAAGTAATTTTAAATAATTTAGTTTTAAATAAATTAGTTTAGTTTGAATAATTGATTTAATTAAAATATATTATTAACATAAGTAATTAGAATTAATATTTATAATTGACTTAGTTTATATAATTTTTTCTATATGTATTGTTATTATCATATAACATTATTATTTATGTGTATTTTGATTTCAATAAATACTTACTTTTATGATTGTTGATGTATTTTTTGAACAATAAAAAATAAAATCCGAGAATATGAAATTATCTTCGAATTTGATATATTTAGCGTCTGAGATTAGGAATCTCTAAATACGGTACGGTACAGAAAACAAACTGAAAAGTAAAATACTGGAAATTTAAATAATAATCCTCGAATCACTGACTTTGTCGTCGTTTGAAGATGCCCTGTCAGTTACAAATCTCAATCCTTAAATATTCCTCAGAAACGGTACTTGGAACCGTCGCCCGAACAGTTACAACGCCTCTTTTCAACCGCCTGCCAACTCCCTTTTTGCTAACACGTGCCCTCAGCCGACCAAACTATTACTCTCACTCGCTCCTAGCATTACCCGACCTCCACAACAACCGACTTGCCTATCCAACCACAAACCTTCCGACTCTTTGGACCGACCGCCAACCTTCCGCCTTGTTGGTCCGACCACAAACCTTCCGACTTATTGGTCCAGCCGCAAACCTTCCGACTTTTTGGACCGACCGCAAACCTTCTGCCTTTTTGGTCCAGCCGCAAACCTCCCGACTTGCAGACCACCCGACTTATTGATCCGACTTCAAACCTTCTGACTTATTTGTCCAGCCGCAAACCTCCCGATTTACAGACCACCAGACTTGTTGGCCTAACCACAGACCTTCCGACTTGCACATCGTCCGACCCACTGACCAACTGACCTGCAGACCATCCGACTTGTAAACCGTCCGACTCGCAGATTTCTACCTTATGGACCACCCGACCTACAGACCTCCCGATCTGCAAATTGTCCGACCTGTAAACTGTCCGACCTGCGGACTTTTCGACCCGCGGACCTTCCGACCTGCGGACTTTTTCGACCCGTGGACCTTCCGACCTGCGGACCTTCCGACCCGCTATTTCCTTAGGAATACGTCTATTTCACCCGATTTTCTCGAAACATCCCTTGATCAGTCCAACAAACCCAATTATAGGCCCATTTTTTCTTCTAACTTGGGCTTTTTAACCTAATTATAAATTTCATACGTAACAATGATTAAAATGAATCACAGTAACTCAATTTAAGTATATTTTAAAATATTTTTATAATATACTTAGTTTATATAATTTTTGTTATATTGTTATTATTTATACGTAAAACTATTGTTATTATCTTTATTGGTAAATTTCAAAAATATATAATGTATAAAGTATTTGGTTCCTTCAATATGTAATCATGTAATTTTTGTTTTTATTATACTGAACAAATAAATTTTGTATCGCATTTTATAAATAAATTAATCAAATTTTATTAAATACTTTTATTTTTCTTTATTTGTATAACATAAAGATAAAAAAGTAAAATTATTATATTTTTTCTTTCCTCTCTTACTCAACCAAACACAAAAATATTGTTTTCCCTCGCCCCGTCTCCCTTCCCTTTCATATGAACCAAACACACTATTACAATTTTAATATTCTTTCCCCTCCATTCTATTAAAATCTCTCTCATCCCCTCCCTTTGCTTGAACCAAACAGACCCTTAGGGTTAAAATTGGATAGGGATAGAGAAAGCAGAGCAGTGTGATAGGTAGTGTTTAGTCATGATCATGACTAAATACTATCTATCATTCTAGAAATTAGATGGGTAAAGGAAGGTTGAGTGAAAAAAAAAAAAAAACAGCATGAGAGGTACCAATTAGTCATTACCATGACTAAAAATCACCTATTGACCTGATGATTTTTTTATTTTTTTGGGGAAAAATCGATCGTGCATTCGCAAAAAACAAGCAATTATTTTCCAAAAGACCTGCACCAAACCAAGCAAAATCATCAAAAGTATTATTAGCAATTAAACAATAATAAAAATAAATAAAATTAAAAAAAGCAATTAAATGGTTTGGGTTGTCTCCCAGGAAAAACGTTTTTCCTTATAGTATTTGAGTTAGACTTCGTGTCTTAGTTCTCAACTTCGACATCAGTGAGAGACACCAACTCTACAGATTCAAGTGGGAATCCTTCGTAATATGACTTAAGACGATGTCTATTGACCACAAACTTTTTCTCCGTCTTTAAACTCTGAATCTCCACTACACCATAAGGAAAAAGTTTAGTAACGATAAAGGGCCCTATCCACCTAGAGTACAATTTTCCAGGGAAAAGCTTGAGACGAGAATGATATAATAATACTTTCTATCCAATCTCAAAATTTTTTCTGGAGATGCGATGATCATGAAAGTCTTTTTTCTTTTCCTTATAGAGTATCGCATTCTCGTACGCCTCTTGTCAAATCTCCTTTAGCTCTTGAATTTGCATTTTTCGATGGACTCCGGTTTCTTGAAAATGCATATTGCACTTTTTCAAAAACTTCGCGTATTTGGGGATTTGGTTGATAGCCTCCAAGAACGGGATATTAAGTTCCACCTTCTTGAATATTTTCATCATCTCTTTCATTTGTTTGTCTTTTGTGGCTTCTTCTACCTGTCAGGAAAAAGAGTTGATTTAGCTTCGGTAGGAGGAATAGATTTAGGATGTACCCTTTTCGTGAAGTTCAACTTCTTTTTCAATCCCATCTCAATCTGATCCTCATTCTGTTCCTTCGAGATAGGAGGTGGATCTTCCAATTCCTTTCCGCTACAAAGGGTGATGTTCTTCGGGTTTTGCTCTGGTTGCGCAGGCCACTTTCCTCTTTCACGTAGCTGTTTTACCTCTTCTGATACTTGGCTAATCTAACTTTGTAGCTTGTCCATGAAAAGAAACCAGTAAATGGATTAAGCCAGATTTCAGTTCAAAAGCAATAGTATTATTCAAAGTTGGAAAGTTAATGCATAAGAGCTGTTGCGTCAAGTTGGGAGCAGCCAACTCCCTTAGAGTGCGGGTATCCTCAGCCATGACAGTTTCTTGGTCACTTTCAAAGTCGCTAGAGTTAGAGATTATGAGATGGTTTAAAGAATCGGCCAGCTTTGCAACTTGAGCAACTTTTCGTTGTTTGGTTTCCTTTTCTAGCTTCCACTCAATCTTCTCGATCTCAAGATTAAATATCAGTTCACCTGTACAAGAAGAACGGGCCATAAATAGGAGGATATATGAAAATAAAACAAATAAACAACACAAAAGAGTAAAACAAATAACCAATCCCCAGCAACGGCGCAAAAAATTGACCGGTCGCGCGGTCAATCAAATATTTCACCTATTTTGTGATCACAATTTAATGTAATACAGGGGAAAAAATTGTCTCCACAAGAATTGTGTGATTCACTCTTTCGCGTTCTAATGCAGTAAATAAAAGGGGGAATTTTCTTTTTTTTATTAATGAAGACAAAATAACAAAGCAATTAAATCAACGGGGAACTAGCTATCAAGGGGATGTCTGGCTCAAATGGATGATGCAGTTATGACACTTGTGTTTTTATCATTGATTCAATAAAATTAATTCTTATTAAAGTATCAATAAATTGATTATAGTTATCAACAAGCTCTGATAACCAATTTTTCCTTGCAGTATAGGTAATTAAGGTACGACCGTTAACTACCCCTAATTAAGCTAATAAACCTAGGTGCACCCATAGGAAATATTGTCTAATCTTATTCTAATCTTGAAAAATCCAATTCAAACAATTACTATCTAAGATGAGCAATTAAGTTTGATTGTCTAACTCCTAAGAAGGAACTATTCAATCCGGTTGTCACTGATTCAAATGTGAATACAATTACAAATATTCTATTTAAATTGACTTTAGATTATCAGACCAAGTTAAATATCGGTACCAAACTATCCAATCAATCTAACAATCACAAACGTTATTTTCAGGATTAAACAAATATTGATAATAAAAAAGAACTTTTATAAAGAAAATTAAGAATCTTCAGAACACAAGAACCAAAACATTATCATCCCTCAAACCAGAAAGGTAACTACTTCATAATCAAATAGCAAAAAACAAAAGGGAAAAATAAAGTCATAGTGGAAGGGGAAATCTTCTCTGTTGATTTGCTTCTGCACGATATATGAGTCTGTCAATCTCCTGCTCCTGCGCGTACTTTTTCTCTGGCCGTCCTCTACATGTATTCTTTTAATTTTTTGCCCTCCTTTTATTTTAGCAATTGGACTTTTGGCCCTTTAATTAAATTCTCATGT